ATCTTTAGTACATTATTATAAAATCCCCCCAAATTTTTATTGTCCATAAAATGCAAATTTTATCTTTTTAAATTTTTTTAATAATCATGTACTATCCTTATGGTTTCAAGTAATGTACAAGACCCGAAAATAATATTTCTAAGTAAACCTAAACAATAAATGAGTATTTTTATTTTTAACTAGGATTTCATTTTTATATATGTACATAAAAAACATTTTAATTTTGCTTCATACATGTATTTTTATTTCAAGTTTATGTTTCATTGCAGCCATAATTTTGTTTATTGTGCCAAATGAATCGTGAGGTTAGCAGCGCGAACATTGTACATTTGCCGTAAACTATCATGCCTGTTGGTGGTCACTCTCATTTAGTCCAGTGCAGGCACATTTCATCATTAATGTAGATATGATAGTAAGAAAGCTTTTCGGAACTTGAATACCATTTCTTTGAACTTTCAAATAAGTTTATTTCAACATATGTCCATGTATGTTATTTCACTATACAGAAAAAACTAATTGCCACTACTAGCGAATGTATGTAATACTAATAGTTTACAGTACAGGTGGTTTCAATAAAACCACCAGACCCTAGTTACTTGATACATCCTGTTAGAAGAGATTACCAGACAATACAAACACCATAAATTACAAAGAAAATTACTTTACAGCACTTAAAAGACTGGTCCTAGTCATATTCCTCTCATTATAAGCAAGATTTGTGTTGGATTTTGAAACTTAAGCTCTTCTGTGTATTGAGACCCCTACTGTGAGAATGTCATACCTTTCCCTGTATTATTGAGACAAATGTATTTAGTCTGTTTCACAACCAACATATGGGTTTTATTGTTGTCACTTGTACACTGAGTTTTAATGCATTTGCAAAATATCAGAATAAACTTATATATATCAGTTACTGTTTTGATTATAAAGCAATCCATTTGCAAAATATCAGAATAAACTATATATATCAGTTAGACTGTTTTAATTCTAACGCAATAACAACAGAAGTGTGGGTCTTACTACAAAGCAAAGATTGTAAGAAGGAAAAATAT